AGAGAGAGAGAGAGAGAGAGAGAGAGAGAGAGAGAGAGAGAGAGAGAGAGAGAGAGAGCAGTAGGTGAGGAAGTTTCAGATTGAGTGAGGATTCCATTTGGAGTGTGCTTGTTTTGTGATGTGGCTGCATATGGCTGTAACCATTTTCCTTTTCGTTTTTCTGTTTTATAGCTGCAGCTTCCATTGAATACATTTTGCTGCTGAAACAAAAACCTGACAAACTGTTTCGCGAAAACAAGCCTCTAGCGAGGCCTGTAAATGAATGGGAGAATTGACTTGTTGTTGTTGTTGTTGTTGCTGCTGTGTTTTCCATGTCATTTCCAGGTTCTCCTTCTGGTCAGGAATTTCTGGAAGCAGTCTCTTCAACTCCTTCAGCCTGATGGCGTACAACATTGTGTATACTAGCTTGCCTGTACTTCTATATGTCCTGGACAAAGACATTAGCGAGGAGAGTGTGGAGAATCACCCACATGTGATGAGGTTCTGTCAAGCAGGCCGGTGAGAACTGACGCGCCAATCGCCTCTGCCCTCCCTTTTGTGCGCGTTTTGATAGTAAAACGGGGTAGCCCCGGATGTTGTTATTGTGTTCATCTGACTCTGTCAGTGCCTGAAGTCTGTCAGTGTCTGACCTGTTGAGTAGCATTCACATGTCTGTAGTACTCTGTACCGATTCAGCCTCACATAGGAAAAGGGGTAGTCCGTACTGTTGTTTTTGTGCTCATCTGAGTCCGTCAGGTTTGAACTCATGACCTGTTTGCTAGCTGTTACATCTGTGTACCATTCATCGAGACCTCATGAGCTGGGTCTCTCCTCTTTCTTTCAATTTTGCTTTTTTCCACCCCGAAGGGCAACAGTCTCAAGATATCGTCATTGGACTGACCGGCCCCAGGTAAAATTCACAGTTATTTCTCACTCATCTGGTTCCATTGGCATTCGAACTTGGGTCTGTAGTTCTTGGGTGTAGCAACTGAGTTACGGTGGGCCCGTTGGTGGGACCGAGTTTGAACTTTGAAGTGAGCGAGGCCTGTTGGTAGGCCCGTTGGTAGGCCCGTTGGTAGGGCCGTTGGCAGGCCCGTTGGTAGGACTTTCCTTTTTGTTGTGTCAGAAGACTCAGAACACTGTCTCGCGCTTTTCCAGCTATTTTTCTTTCTCTTTTTTTCTTTTCTGAGTTTTCTCTTTTTCTCTTTTTTGAAGTCTTTCTTTTTTTTTTTCCTTTTTGTTTTCAGCTGTCAATTTAACCTGCTCTCGAGTTTTACTGTACTTTTTCACCTCGATCTTAAACCACGGTCCGTTTAGGTCCTTAGGAGCTATTTTGTTCCAATGTGCCTGTTAACACGCCGCATCCTACGGGGCTCCACCTACTCAGCGTAAACGGCTGGGGGCCCCAGTCAATAAGCCACTCACATTGCGCCCTGACCGGGCTCTTCAAGCTGGACCAGGATCGTCTGCATGGTTTTCGGAAAGTCCACATCGTTTTTCTTTCTTTTCTTTTCTTTTCTTTTTCTTTTCTTTTTTTGAAGTCCACAAGTGGACCCCCGCGTGGTGGATGGTGGAGACAGCGGGGGTGGGGGGAAGGGGGGAGAGAGGAGAGTGCCGCAAACCGGGTTGAGCGGAAGAGATGGACTTCAAGAAACTGTTCGTGTCGCAAACTGGGTTGTTGGAGGAGGTGAGGAGGATCATCACTGCTGCTTTAATTCTGTCTGCGCTTGGGGGGAATATGTTGTACGCTGGCCGCCGTTGCGGCTTTAATTCCGACAGCACACAGCACGCAGGACAGTGTTGGCTCTGATGAGCAGAGTCTGAGTGAGGCCATGTGTGCAGCTTGCCGGCAGGCCGGCCCATCATGTTCTCCCCGGTTCCCTTACTCTCCCTCTGCCCTCTGTCGATCACCCTCCTTTCTCAATCTCCATGTGTCCACCTTCACCGCACTGTCATTGTCCAATCGCGCAGTGCGAGCGAGGCCCATCTGTGCAGTTTGCTGGCCGGCCTTCCCATCATGATCTCCCCCCTTCCCTTCTGTCTGTCACTGTCTTTTCTCGATTGCTGGCCACCTCCACCTCGTCCGTCACCATGTTCCCCCTCCCGTTCTTCATCACACCATCATCATTCAATCCCCGTCTCCATCTTGATCTGTCCACCTTGTTTGCCGCCCAGTCCGTCACGATCCCCTGCCTTCCCTTCGTCACCACACTGTCATCATTCAATCATGCAGTCGTGCCCGTGTGGCTACGCCCCCCCCCCCCAAACCCACACACACACACCAATAAAAACACATCACGTTTTTAAAACACACCTCAACGAATCTATATGGGTCTCACTCCATTGCAAACGTTCGAAATGAGAACGAATCTTCTGCTAGCAAATGAGAAGATAAAACGCGAGCGGAGCGAGGCTCATCCATGCAGCTTGCTGGCTGCCCTGCCTCCCCCCGCCCCTTTCCCTTCCTCTTCCTCTGTCCATCAAGATTCCCCCTGTTCCCTTTCTCTCCCTCTGTCCTTTGTCGATCACCGTCCTTTCTCGATCTCCATGTGTCCACCTTGCTTGCTGCCTCGTCTATCTCGTGACTATCATCACCATCATCCCGCTCCTGGTTATCATTATCATCATCTATCAAATGCATCTATTGTGATCACCCGTCCTCCTCCTCACCATAGTCAAGATCATCATCATCATCATCATCATCATCATCATCATCATCATCAACCCCTGTTCCGTCATCCTCCTTTTCCTTTCTTTGCCCACGGTTCATCGAATATATACCTGCACCTAGGCTACGAGCCGGGCTGCCCGGGGCACCCTGTCTTCCTGGGCGGCCCGGCCGTGCAAGGACCAGGGAAGATCCCA